ATGCCCACACTTGTTTTTTTATATTACTTTGAGTTGTTAATTTTGTTGTCATAGTTTGTCTGTGTTTTCCTTGTGTTTAAATTAAGCGCTTAAAAGAATTATTTTCTTATTTATATCCTACAATAGTGAAGACACAAATGTTGAGATAAATAAATAGTTGAATTGTGAGGAGTTGTAGAAATCCTATTTTAAAGTTTTTATAAATTTAGGTGTTTGGAGTTTTGTTGAGACAACAGACAGACGCGACGTTCGATGTAACATTCATCTCAGAAAATGAACTTGTCACATTAACTGCTGAAGAGATCCTTTGTTGGAGATAATAATGCAAATTAACTTTCAGGTGCTAATGTGTTCAGTGCGTGTCCCATCTCGTTACTCGATAATGCTTATAATTACTGAAATGAATCAAGGCGAAAAATGCATTTCTCGACCTTATTTTATTTATTTTTTTGGCTTTTCTATATTTGTCCTCCACAACTTATCTTAACGCCTTATCAGGATGGGTAGTATATTAATTACTGTATGTTGTACAAGAGCGTACCCAGAAGGCAGCTGCTTTTCTCAGTCCTCTTGCAATTTGAAAAAAAAAGTTAAATAAAACAAGAGCAAACATAAAGAAGAAAGTTCTGAAAAATCCTTTTTCAATGTTAGATTGATAGTTCATATTTTACCATTTTTAAACAAACTAATTATGACAAATGCCATCCTGTACGTAAATTAAATTAATCAGCTACAAATCGCTCTTCGTTTCAGTTCTGATTTGGATATGCCCTTAATATTTTACTTTTTAATAACTATATGAGTAAATATTTTCAACTATCAACATACTGAACTTATAAATTTTCTACACCCTGCATAGTGTAAATTTTTAAAGCAAAATAAATTTTTCTAGTTTAAAATTTAACTTTTTCTTACAAGGGTAGGCTACAGTCAGTGGGTCATCGATTACAACTTTTTTTTTTCGGTAATACTACACAGAAAAATATTGGACACATCCTGGCATTCTCAATGGGCCCTAGTGACTGAGAAAAAATAAACGTATATTATTTCAAACAAAATTTATTTCCCTTTGCTTTGTCCGGATTTTCAGATAGTGCAATACATCAATCGGTTTTTCTTTTCTTTTCTTTTTTTTTTTTACGGAATAAGAAAAAAAAATTGAATATTCTATTAAATGAGTTATCATAAATTACAACAACTAAAAAAAAAAGGCACAAGTAAAATAGGCCAAGTAAATTTTTGTCATGAAAATGCAAGGTGGATTCGTGTTAAGGATTTAATCTTTTAAGACTGTTAAATAAGATTTTTTATATAAATAAAAAAATACAACCTTTAGTACTTGATTTTCTAGGGTTAATTTTGTCTACACTAAAGCATTCATTTCTCCTCAGGATTTTCTTGAAACTTCAATACAATTATTGGAAAGCTCTTCCAACCGACATAAATAACTTTTGGATTTCTTTCCTTCTTATGTTAGAAATCAATAAAACTTCTAATCCATTTTTATATGTTTCGTTCTAGTTTGTTTTCGAAGGTCAGGTTTATACCTTTTTGTGTAGCACGCAGAGGCCTAAATCCTTAATAATTTCTGTGAGGATCGGTGGAGCTGCCCTAATGTTATCACAATTTTTGTTAATGTCGACAAAGTTTCGAATGTTCCAGCGTTTTCAAATAATTTGGGCAGAAAATTATAATTTTCCATTGCTATAAAAATTCGTATTAAAGGGGTTTTTGATGTACAAAAACGATTATCAACTTTGTTTATTACAAATATGCATATTTTTCTATATCAAATTTTAATTTCGATTTATTTAACTTTTCGGAATTTTTCAAAATATTATATAATACTATCGAAAAATTCCTCAAAACCAAAATAAACCAAATGTTGAATTTTAAATGGAAAATATTGAGTTTTGTTTGGAAAACGTTTAATTCCTCTTGTAAATGATGGAATTTTACTCGGAAAGCATTGAATTCGCTTTGGAAGGAATTAAATTTTGAACTGGAGAAAGTTTAATATGATTTTTAAATAATGGTCGATTTATTGCTAGAAGTCTCAAAGCACGTTTTAGATGGAACTAAACTTTTTTGGTTATTATTTTTGAGTTTTGACTTTATTAATTAATTGTTATTATTTAGTTGTTTTTTTCTTCTGCTTATTTTATCATTTATGTATATGTATAGTATGCATGTGGTCTCACCTACCTATAATTATTGTCCAAGTGACAGAATATATTATTATTAAAGAAATAAATATAAATAAAAATTTATTGTATAAAAAACAATAAGAGTATTAAAACCACACAAACTCTTTAATATACTACACATAGTACTCTAAGTGCACAATTTGATTTTACAAAGGGAAAATTTATCAAAGAACGTAGTAATTTAATTTTATAAAATGTTATTTGACTTTTCACAACAAACCGACTATATAATTTATAGTCCGTGGTACAGACCGTACTTTATCAAATTATTAACATCTGGCTGAAACTTCGTAAATAGTTTCACGACGTAACCTACAACTATTTTATTGTAATAGTTGATTAAAAATTCTCGGAATTGGGGCGTTTTCAAACTGGAGGTCGTCATACTTTATCTATTTAATTAGGTACGAAAAACTCGTAAATACCCATTTGCTTTCCACTTGAATCGTAAGATAATTTAAGTACAAAGTCGGAAAAAAAGGTGGCCTTCAAAGTTAATGAGCCGTTTGTTACACCACCAAATTGTCAAAATAACGAGGTTACATAGGCCAAACGGCCCAATATTATTTTAAGCCAAGGTAAGTGGGTTTTTTATAATTTTTAATGTTGTTTTTTTTTTCTTGGTTAAAGAAAAATTTATGGACAATGCTTGTCTAAATAATAATGGCCTTCAAGGAATCTATTTTTCTTTTACATTTACCGACTGCTACTTTTTGCCAACAAGTTTCAATCCGCCATGTTATTTCCCGAATCGTGGACACAATATATCTTCAAGAGATGACAGGAAACGTGACTTGTGCTTCACAACTGATGAGCTTCGATGACTTGCAACTGAGACTCCCACTCTTTAAAAGTCTTTTTTGACATCACGCCTGATGACTCAATGCAATTTTAACATTACAGGAAGTTTTCAAGAAGAAGAATCATGTAAAGTGTTAACTTGGGTTTAATTGAAGTTATTCGCAAAACAATTAGGTATTTAAAGCTATATTAATTAAACACATTTCCAGTCATTTGTGATAAATTTCTGCCGGAGGCAAGCCTAAGTCTAAATTAGGGATGGTTATCGATAATCGATATTAACGAAATATTAGTTTTTCTGCCAATATTCGATATTTTACCATCGATAGTATCATCGACCTTTTTATATTATAATTTTTTTTCTTAATGATATTTACAACTGTATTAAATAAATATATCTAGCAAATTTGAACATATGGATATGACGTGAAAACACTTGCTGCGTTACAACCCAATGGTAGCACTCTCATCTTCTTTTCAGACGTCTCGGAGGGTTATCAGGAATTGAAGATGAAGCAAGGTTAGAAACGAGAAGGTTGGTATGATTCTGAAGTTTATTATGGATTGGGTCAGATCTGAAACAAAAGAAACATTAAGGTCATTATAGATGGTTTTATTTGTAACAAAGTAGGGAGCATTGAGTATTTTACGAAGGATTTTGGATTGTAAGGATTGGATACGAGAGGAATTCGAAGGTTTAGTGGAGCCCCATAGCTTAACTCCGTAAGTCCAAATAGGCCTTATTATAATCATGTATATGAGTCTTTTGTAATTGATTGGAAGTTTAGAACGTTTGTCTAGTAAGTGCTGAAGTAATCGGAAACGTCGAACGGTTTCTTGTCGTTTCAGGCTAGTATGAAGATTCCATTCCAAGTTAATCGTTTGTCCAGTTGGAGTCCTAGGTAGCGGATTTGATCAACAGGGATAAGTGGAGTATTGTTGAAGGAAACTTTAGGACAGGAAGTCATTGATTTACGACGATATTGTAATTTAAAAATAAAATTTTAACTATTACTGGAAAGCTCTTGGAATAATATAAATCTGTCCGTTAGAAAAAAATTATACTCATCTTGAAGAGAAGAATAGTTGGGGTGGTCAGTCAAAGACTTTGACTGACCACCCCAACTATTCTTCTCTTCATTATCCACGACAGTCAACCAATTACCAATTATATATACTCATCTTGCATGTTTTATATGGAATGTAGCTCATAGTAGAGAAAAATATCGATATTTCGATATCGATAAATATCGACTGTTGGTCATCCCGAGGTAGAGTTAAATAGCTCACGTGGGATCCTGACCCTTCTCATTCAGTAAGCTCAATTTGTCCAAATTTGTTAATTAGAACCTTCTCAAACGAATCATCATAGAAATATATGTAGGATGCAAAAAAATTAGCAATTCGCTGAACCCTATCTGATTCTTTCCTATTTATTTCAATTTTTTTAATACTTTAAAAAACCAAAGCACAACAATTAAGTGAATCAAATTAAGACATACAAATCCTTACCGGTATATATATAATTTGACTTCAACGGACGATTTAAGCACTTCCATACGAAACTTACTTTCATATCAAACAAATAAAAAAGGATTACTCCTATAACAGACACACACACACAAAAAAAAAAAGAATCTTTCCTTTGATTAACACTTAATAAACTCTTATTTATATAGAAATACACAAATGTGTAAATTCACTGTTTCTGGAATTTTTGAAATAAAGTCAGGAATATATAACAATGTTTCTCGTGTCTTACACATTATTGTTTTATCTTCCTGGAGTTCATCTGATTCGGAGGCTCAAGTGGATAACGATATTGATTAAAAGATAAATTCATATAGAAAAAAAATGATTATTCTATCAATCAAAATAAAAAATATTTTTAATTAAAAATAATCTATGAACGTTATTAATGATATGTAATTGATCTTGTAATGTTTCCCTACATCAAAGATCGAAAAGAATGTGACCACACCGAATTTCCAGGGAGTCATACGTCTTCCTGGTCGGCGGTACATGGATATGTTCCGCCCTCAAAGAACGCTCTCTGTCTGGAGGAACAGAGTGTCCACTGTAAGCTGCCACTGTGAGGGGGATAGAGGATCCCATTCAGTCATTGATTTAGCCTGGATACTGATGCCCGTCAGTGACCGTTCTTATCGGAGGGATGGTCATGTTCGGGGGCATGGGTTCGGATGCCGATCTGGGAGGGAAGAAGGAGATGTCTTCAAAGACAAGATGATTGGCGCTGATTGATACATCTGGAAGGGGATCCAATATGTCTACAGTGGATGCCACCTACTGATTTTTAAATTCTCTTACTTCAGTGTAAATGACCCCAGTGGTGGAAACACTCAAACAAATAAATAAATAAATTGCCTTACTGAACAGACTTATTATTATTATTATTTACCAGATCCTCGTTTACTAATACCAATTACTGGACCTTAATACCAATAATACGGCTGAGTGAGATGCGCTGGTATCTCCTAGAGTCCTGTATTTCCTTCCACGAGTGTTGGGAAAGGCTTGGCCCGGAGTTCTCCTCAGGTAATGAATTTTGTACAGAAGTATGTGTGATTTTAAGTTATTAGTTTAGTTGTTTATATATATATATATATATATATATATATATATATATACATTAACTTTTAGTATTATTATTTTGCTATTATTTTCATTTATTGTATATGTGAATGAATATATCACTAATAATAATGTGACAAAATGAAATATTACTTATTAAAAAAGTTTGCGTTATGGTGTAAAAAATACCAACTAACTGAACAATGTTTTGCCAATGAAGGAATAAAAACTTAAAAAATTTAATTTTAAATCACAAAATTGAGATAATTAGTGTTTCGGAGGTATACAGTTTTCGAGTTATATATTTATATATTTTACTGATTTTCCAGTATATTATTAATTTTATGTAACTTAATTAAAGGCCATAGAATATTAATGTAAATAAGGAAAAAGTTCAACAATAAACAGAAATCAGATGTTTAGTTATAATTGGAAAAATCTAATGACACTGTCCTGTGATCCATAACTATTATATTGATATCAAAACACGTACTATAGATATAGCAAAGTATACTCTATTATGGGACGAAGTCTCTTGAAAATAACAGACTATAACAGAAAAAAAAAATTGCTTCTGACAAGAAGAACTGTTACATTAAATAAACAGATTAACAAAAAACTCTTAAGTAAGTAAACTTACAATACATACAAAACGAAACTGTTACAAAACAAAATGCTTAGGACCATTTACAAAACAAATAAGAAATGAAACAAAATAATCTCTGTTTAGTTTAAAAAAATATTAAAGAAATAAGGGAAAACAATAAATGAAAAATAAATCCAATTGATAGATGAGCACTAAGAGTTCATTAAATAAAATCAAATACAGCTGTTATTTAAATAAATTTTTAAATGCATAGATATAATTGTGTAGACAAGAGAAAAAAAATTAACATGTAAATGCTGACTTTATTTTTACATGTATTTAAGAGGCAAAAATGTCTTTGTTGGATTTTTTTCAGTAATAACCTAACACCTAAGAAAACTTTATACTCTCGTATTAGCTTTTATTTAATGTAATTGATCTTCTGAAGTGTTTACGAGTACTGCACCATCTATATTTGGTTAATTTTAATCGTGCCCTTAATTGAGGCAAAATGTATTTTTTTCTCAATAAAAATTGTTCATAAAAAAAAAAATTTTAATCAGGCTTTTGATTATATTATCTCTAGTCCAAATTGAGTAAATTTGTGCTCTTCAAACTTAAAGATTTCTAAATAGAGAAGCATAGACTAAAGAGTTTTAAATCTTATAGTAATAACTTAACGTTTATATTTTGAGCCTCATTTTACGATTTTTGCTCACATTATAAATGTATATTATTTAATTATTCTAATTTTTGCGTAGTATATCTACTTTGACCATATTAGTCTAAACAGATTTTTATTCGTTTGTGTTAGTAGATTTTTTGGTACATGTTTAATTAGATAGGTTTCATATATCTTTTTAGGATTTCTAGAGGTACAACCTAACTTATTCTGACCAGTGTAGAAGACCAAGTTTCATTCCGTTGGTCCTGGCACAAAATAAATTACAGAGATGCAGCGTTTAACACGTTCAGCCACCACGGCCTCATCGTATTACAAAGCTACCTCATATTACACTAAACAGTTCAGACACCCTTCTCATATCTCTCAAGCTAATCTGGGATCTTCCCCCACCTTCATGATCTGGAGGACAAATCCCCGGAAAGGATGAGCTATGGATGCCTGGAGCTGATACATGACTGATCCGTTTGTGGTAGGGATCTCTCTATTAGCCGTCATATCAGTCTTCGGCCGATCTGTCCCTTCTTGTTAGGGCATTTTGTCTTCACTCTTGTTGACTGCAAAATACATTTTTACATGAAGTTCCGTCATTTTTTAATTCATAATCTATCCCATTGATATAATGAAATGCTTTTATATTTTTTTTTTAACTTCATTTCTTCACTCACACCTGTCATAAGTACTGACAATTAGTGAAGCTGCTGTCGGGAAGAATAATACTAGTAGTAGCATTGATTGGCGTGAGGGAAGGATTGCCCAGTGGCATCCCTTAATACTTTGCGACGGTACAAGAACAGAAATCGTGAGCCACAGGAATATTTCTGGTTGTCGCTCAAGCATTTGACAGAGTCTGGCATCAGAGGCTTCTCTTCGAACTTAAGACGGAATTCCTTCCTACCTATTATGTTATTGTTCAGTGCTTTCTATCTGACGGATTTTTCTCTGTCTGCCAAGACTCGAAACTTTCTTCAATAAGACCAACATTGCCAGGAGTTCCTCAGGGGTCATTATTCCGCTTTTATACTACATATATACACACTACATGTCTAACAATGTCTGAGATATAACAATGACTTACGAATACGATACAATAACTCCAACAAGACATAAAAATCCTACACTCGTTTCACAGATTTTTACAATCTTCTTCATAACAGTAACCAAATAGTTAAAAAAAAAAAAAAAAAAAAAAAAAAAAAAAAAAAAAAAAATATATATATATATAATATATATATATATATATATAATATATATATATATATATATATATATAGGGCCAATTCAAATCTCTAACTAGCTTGGAGCTGTTACCTTAAAAATCTGGGAAAAATATTGTTACATGCCGAATATTTGACTCAATTTTAAACTCACTTAAATGGAATCGTCGACAGTAAAACAATCATTCAATAGAATTTCAAAATAAATTGGAGTTTATTTTTTTATACTAAATTTGTCTATAAAATATACCGATTTTGAGTTCCTTTGAGGTCACAGAACGCCCTAGAATGTGCCCGAATTCAGTATATATAATGTAAATGATACATTTATATCATACTTATACGCAACCCCACAACTTAAAACGTTATGAAGTAAAATTACCCTTATTGACCTTCAAAGCAATGTAAAAGTATACTATTCTGTAAACTTCGTGTAGAATTCAACCAAAATAAAACATCGAATCATAAAGACATATTCTGAGTCTATCCACCACAAAATATTGATTTCTTGTCACTCTTTCACTGGAACGACGTGTCTAACCATTAAATTTTATACGAGAGCCAAAATAATTTGAGCTAGAATTATATAAGTTACATGATAATTAAAATTGATTGTACCAGTGTACGTACAATCCTTTTACCCATTAATTTTTTCGTATATAATGATATGGTTTGATTCGATTGAACTTGACTTTCTGAAAATTTAACAAATATTTTTCGAACAAAATTATTTTTCGAACAAAAATATTTTTCGATAATTTTTCATTTGCGTCGTTTTTTCCACCGATTGAGCTATAGATTAGCCTTTGCAATTAAATCATGTATTAAGTATGTTCAATGTACCATTAAGTAATCATGTACCACTTTGTGTTTGAAGTGCAATCCTGGCCATTCCAAAGGTAACCAATTTCTTTTTAAATATAACCTTTATCAATCAAGTTTAATCTTATCTCTTTAAAAAAGAAGAATGGTTACATTTGAAAAGGATTTTTACTTTAAGTAGACAATATCCAATTTTGGCAAACGCGCGAATGATTCTACGAAACGCGACCAGGCCTCTATCAAAGTGTAATATAAAAGAGTTCAACGCCCATGGAGCACCTGAGACATCTATCATCTGCGAAGAGATGCTGCTACGTTGATTGGGTTTCGACTGAGGACTGCTAACGAGGATTGCTAATTGTCCACCCTGATAACTATAATAATGGCCCCTCTGATAATAACAAAGGCGGTGATGAACTTCTGCTTCTGCCTCGACGTTGACTGACTGTCTCCCCACCCCTCTTCGAAATTACCCTTTCTGTAATTTTTTTTCTTCTTTCCTTTTTTTTTTTTAATTTGTTTCGCCCCCTCCCGTGGGATCTTTGTTTCCTATACCGGAAATGGCCCCTCTGATGAAAGCGGCAGGGCTGATGGGTGGATGGAATTAGGCATTCTGTGAGGGTTGGCATTTCCTTTCTGGCGATATTTCGGGTAGCTGAGTTGCAAAAGAAAGGTCTTTTCTTGGAAAATCTTTCCTATAACTTTGCTGATTACACTTTAATAACATGCTTGTTTGTTTCACAGTGTTCTACTAAGATTCATTAAAGAAAATATAGATTTTCTCAGTTACGTGGTTTCAGTTGAACATCACAAATTAAACAAAGTTGCTGCATTCTAACTATTTTTGAAATGGAATTACATTATTTTTTTTTATATACTCCTAATTTAATTTTCTTACATGTTTGAAAGTCTTAAAATTTGCCTTTGTCTGCATGGTTATTAAATAAAAAGACCGATGATGTAAAATCTTAAATATTTACTGATATACAGTTCAAAGTAAATCACAATAATACCTACGCATCCCTCTTTTCTCAATCTGCCGGTGTTCCTCAAGGTAGTATTCTTGGTCCTATCCTTTACACAGTTTATACAGCTGATATCCCAACCATCCTAATACTGTCATCGCCACGTATGCTGATGACACATATATCCTATCAGTTAATAACGATCCATCAATTACATCGCAAACTCTTCAATCATACATCATAAATCTTGAAGAATGGTATCAAACTGGAGGATTAAAATTAATTTCAATAAATACCATCAAATCACCTTAACCCTTCGTCGTAAGCCTATGACTTTCTGTCCTACAATATCCTTTAATAACAACCTACTTATCGCTGTAGAACAAATCCGATACCTA